TCTCGAACCCGCGGGCTCAGGCAATCCACTGACCTCAGTCTCCCAAAGGCGCGGGATTACAGGCTGAGCCACTGAGCCCAGCGTACCCCACACTTTTAAAATAAAAAATAAAAAACAAAACATTTTATCAATAACTCAAAAAATAACAGATACTGGAGAGGAGGTGGTGAAAACGGAACACTTCTACACTGTTGGTGGGAGTGTAAACTAGTGCAGCCTCTGTGGAAATCAGTGTGGCGATTCCTAAAAGCTCTAAAAATCGACCTTCCATATGACCCCGCATTTCCCCTACTGGGAATATACCCTGAAGAACTCAAATCACTCTATAAAAAAGACATCTGCACATGTATGTTTATCGCAGCATTGTTCACAATAGCAAGATCATGGAACCAACCATGCTGTCCATCAAGAGGACTGGATTTTAAAAAATGTGGTACATATACACAATGGAATATTACACAGTCATAAAAAAGAATAAAATCATGAATTTCGCAGCAACCTGGATGGAATTGGAGTTTATAGTACTGAGTGATCTCTCACAAAAACAAAGATCTGAGTATCACATGTTTTCACTCATAAGTGAACCTTATGAACAACTATCGTAATACTATAAGAAAAGGATTGACAGTGATGGGAAACCATGGGGGGGGCAGGGAAGGGAGGGGAGGTGGGATTAATGGTAGTCGATATCTGTCTGGGGACGGGGCGGGGCCACACCTCATCAACAAGGGTACCTGCATAATGCATATTTGTATATCTAACCCTTAACTGTACCCTACAATTTTTAAATAAAAAATATGTTTAAAAAAATTAAAAAATAAAACATTTCAGAGGTCTTTATATACATAAATCTAGTTCACTGTTTTTCACATCTGGTGGTGGTATACTGTATCAATGTAACATCCTTTATTAAATCATTCCTAATCAGCAGATATTCATGTTGTTAGGTTTTTTGCTCTGACAAATATCATTGTACATACATCTATGCACATACTTGAGCTTATCTACAGGCATGTACCACCACACCTAAATAACTTTTTAAAAATATATTTTAAGAGAGGAGGCCCCGGCTGGTCTTGAACTCCTGAGCTCAAGCAATCAATCCTTCTGCCTTGGCCTCCCAAAGTGCTGGGATTACAGGCATGAGCCACTGTGCCTAGCAATTTTGCCGAAATATCCTCCACAAAAGCTATACCAGTATATACCTAACACCTGGGACGCCTACAATTAGAGTGTCTACAATATGTGAATTTAGCAATACAGGCAATCTTGAACGTGTGAGTCTCCATCTTACTAACATTTGCCCTTCTCCATCCTACCTCAGTCTCCCATCCCTGGTCCTCTTTGTTCTCCTGCTGCCAGGACGGACTATAATTTTCCTACCCTCGCAACATTTCTATAAGTAAAAATTGAAGCCTCTTAACCTTTTCCTACCTCTGCTCTGTCTATTCCTGCCCGCAAACACTCAAGAAGCTGGAATCCCACACCTTATCCTTTTTCTCATCATCCCAAACATCTTTTTCTCCCTTCTGTCTTTTCCCTTGCTCCCTGCAGTCAAAGGGGTTACCTGGGACCCACCTGACCTCTGCCACAGGCACATGAAACTCAAGTGTGTGGTGGCTGGCGTTTCAGTGCAATGGCGAGGAACTGCCCCACCTCCCACCTCCATCACTCCCCACCAGAACTCAGAATGGGGTCTGTGGTTTCACTACCACGCGGATTCAGTTAGGTTGACTCTGATGGGCTTGTGGGAAACCCAGCCAGCCTGGAGAAAAGAGTTTTTGTAAGAAAGTGCATTCCAAATCCCAAACAGCAAGCTCGAACTTCTGGAATTAATATTTTGGTAGGCTAGAGAGGACACGAGTCCATTCATGGTGAAGATGGGGGCAGATAAAAGGCCAAATACTGCCCAACTTCCCTGTTTCTCCATTGTCCTTTATCTCAATGGTTGACCTTTCTATTTTTACTTTATGTTTAGATAGCTGCTAGTTTCTAAGATGCTAACTAGACTTTTTTTTTTTTAAGTTGGGGTTTCACTTTGTTGCCAGGCTGGAGTGCAGTGGCCTGATCATGGCTCATTACAGCCTCAATCTCCTGGGCTCAGGTGATCCTCTTGCCTCAGCCTCCCAAGCAGCTACGACTACAGATTCATGCCACCATGCCCAGCTTTCTTTCTTTCTTATTTATTTTTTGTTTTCTTTTCTTTCTTTCTTTTTTTAAATTGGAGTCTCACTCTGTCCCCCAGGCTAAAGTGCAGTGGCACGCTCATGGTCACCACAGCCTCGACTTTCTGGGCTCAGGCAATCCTTCTGCATCAGTCTTCCAAATAGCTGGAATTACAGGCACATGCCACCATGCCTAGCTAATTTTTTGATTTGTAGAGATGAGGTCTCACCAAGTTGCCCAGGCTGGTCTTGGACTCCTGGACTTAGGCAATCCTCTCACCTAGGCCTCCCAAAGTGCTGGGGTAACAGGCTTGAGCCACCGTGCCTGGTCTACTTTTATTTTTTATAGAAGCAAGGTCTCCTTATATTGCCCAGGCTGGTCTCAAACTCCTGAGCTCAAGCAATTCTCCCACCTCGGCCTCCCAAAGAGCTGGGATCACAGGCATGAGCCACTACACCTGGCCCAATACATTCTTAATTTAAGTTCTAAGAGCATATTTAAAAGGCAAAAACTCACAAGTTTTTAAAACAAGTTTCCACAAATTTTAAAATAAGTTTTAAAATAAGTTTAAAATTTTAAAATAAGTTTCCACAAATGTAGTGTTTCACATATCACAGTATTAATGCTAGTTTAATGTGGCATAAATATCAAAAGAAAATATTTTAGCCAACATTTCTGCTGTGTAAGGCCTACTTTAATTTCTGTCTTTTAAACATACAACACACAGACACACACAATTTTGAGGGCCCAGTATATATAAATCCTGAAAGACGTATCTTTTAACACATAAAACAAATCTTATTGGCTTGGCTGCTTTCACGTTTAACTGGTGTTTATTTACTAATTACCCTGAAATACTAGTATGATCTAGTGGAAAAAATACCCAGACTGAAGTTGGGAAGATTTAGGTGCACATTCTGTCTCTCAGGACCCAGTTTTGAAAGCTCAAGCAAGTCTTGGGCCTCAGTTGCCCCATCTGTAAAACAAGGGCATCAGTCCTCCTCTTGTTATCCAAGAATTTTGAGACTTACTTTCATACTATCTATGAGCAAAGAAGGAACAAGTTTACAGGGTTCATAGTTAACCTACTTATGAAGAAAGTAGGTATTAAAATATTAATTACACATAGACAGAGGCAAATATTTAACTGACTAAAGTGAGATCATCCAATGGTTTTGGTATAGGAAGTCAAGTTTTCTTGATAGTTGAGGGCTGTACCTCAAACTGGAACTAGAACTTCAAAGTGCTTTTTGATAGAAACTTTGCAAAAATAGCCATCATATGCTCTTCTAGCTATTAAAAATATTGAATTATTTTAAGGGTAACATTTATGTGTGTGAAGAGAAACTTGCATTTAAAGGCAGTATTTGAGAAGCACCAGGTGGGGCACGTTCACAATGCTTTAACCTAGGCAAGCACACAGGACCACACCACTCCCCAGTGTGATACCTTAGGTGATCAAGAGGTTCACAAGATGGATGTGTATCACCAGGAACACCAACCACTACTGACATATCAACATTTTACCGAGCTCTTTCCTTTCCAAGTCACATACTTATGTTCACTTATTTGGTTACTTTGATCTTTTTTGATGTTTGGCTTCTTCCTTCAACTTCATTGACATCTCAAACACACTGTTCACTTATCTTCAAGGCTCTTACTTTTGCCATCTGTTAAGTTCTCTTGTGGTTCTTAGTTTTTACATGAGATGGCTTTTGTAGATCTTATTTAACTAGAAAATTATTCTTTCATCAGCATGACTCTCTCTTTTTTTTTGAGTTGGAGTCTCACTCAGTCACCCAGACTGGAGTGCAGCAGCTGCTCCCGGCCACCGCAGTCTCAACCTGCTGGGCTCCGGCAATCCTTCTGCCTCAGCCTTCCAAGTAGCTGGAATTACAGGCATGCGCTACCATGCCCGGCTGATTTTTTCATTTATTGTAGAAATGAGGTCTCACTGCCCAGGCGGGTCTCGAACCCGCGGACTCAGGCAATCCACTCACCTCAGCCTCCCAAAGGCGCGGGATGACAGGCTGAGCCACCGAGCCTGGCTCATGACTTTCATTACATCATGTAATATTCTCTTCATAAGTGTCATACAGTCAGTTTCTAATCCCCAGGGGTATTGTTTGTGATAATGTTTTAGATATTGATGCTGCGTCTATACCTGGCACCACTCTGGAAATCTGTAGGGCAATGAAGGCACCAAGCATTCATGGAGCACAGCTTTTTTCACTTACAGTTTCACTGTATGTTACTGCCTATTTCTTTAAAGACTTTTGTTAAGAATTAAAAATGACTATAAAAGCCAAATAGTTGTTTAAAAACAATCAACCTAGCCAGGCTCAGTGGCTCAACCTATAATCCTAGCAATCTCACTAGCAATCAATGAAATGCAAATTAAATCAAAAGATGACATCACATATCAGAATGGCAAAAAAATAAATAATTCATCATATTTAATGTTGGTAACGCTGTGAGTAAACAGGCCCTGGAGTCACAAATGTTGCCGTGAGTATATTGCTAACCTATATCCTAGGAATTGTATTTCTTTTTTTCTTTCTTTCTTTTTTTTTTTTTGAGCTGGAGTCATCACCCAGGCTGGAGTGCAGTAGTAGCACGCTCACGGCCACTCCAGCGTTGACCTGCTGGGCTTAGGCAATCCTTCCACCTCAGCCTTCCAAGTAGCCAGAACTACTGGTGTACACTACCACACCTGGCTACTTTTTTGATTTATTGTAGAGAGATGAGGTCATGCTAAGTTGCCCAGGTTGTTCTCAAACCCATTGGCTCAGGCAATCCCCTCACTTCGGCCTCCCAAAGTGCTGGGATTACAGGCTTGAGTCACTGCACCTAGCCAGGAATTGTATTTCTAGGAAGTTTTCTTTGGAAAAAAAAAAAAAACTATCATAAAGAGACATCTACAATGTACTGTAGCACACTAAAAACCAGAGATTATCCATAACTTCTTTCAACTCAGCATTAATACAATGTCTATAATAGAATAATTTTAATTTGTTAAAAAGAACAAGAGTCTCAGCCTATAATTCCAGCACTTTGGGAGGCCGAGGCAAGTGTATTCCCTGAGCCCGCAGGCTCAAGACAAGCCCAGGCAACTTGGCAAGACCTTATCTCTATAATAAAAATAAAAAACTAGCTGGGTGTGGTAGTGCACACCTGTAGTTCTGGCTACTTGGAAGGCTGAGGCGGAAGGATCGTTGGAGCCCAGCGGGTCAACACTGGGGTGGCTGTGAGTGTGCCACTGCACTCCAGCCTGGGCGACAGAGTGAGACTCCACCCCCTCCCCAAAAAAGAATAAGATCGATATATCTGTATTGACAAAGAGAAATACCCAAAAGTGATTAATTTTTTTTTTTTTGAGTTGGGGTCTCCCTCTGTCGTCCAGACTAAGGTGCAGTGGCATGATCATGGCTCACTGTAGCCTTGAACGGTTGGTCTCAAGTGATCCCTCTGCCTCAGCCTCCTGAGTAGCTAGGACTACAGGTGTGCACTGCCATGTCCAGCTAATTTTTAAAATTTTTTTTGTAGAGAGAAGGTCTCACTACATTGTCCAAGCTGGTCTCAAGCAATCCTCCTGCCTTGGATTTCCAAAGTGCTGGATTACAGGTTGAGCCACTACATTGAGCCTAAATTTTTAAAAACGATTTTCAAAAACAGCAGTTATAATGCGTCCTTTAATAATACCCTTTTAGGTATACTTTTAGTCTAGAGATACTCAAAACTTAAAAGTTGTTTTGTGGAAGATGAGAATAATGAAGAACTTGCACTTTCTACAACTGTTATTAACCTCTTTTTTTTTTTTTTTTTACAAAAATCTACTACTTTCAAAATTTAACATTTTTTTAAAAGATCAAACAATTTTTAATGCTAATTTCCAGCAGCAATGAAAGTCTGGGAAAGAAAGACTCAAACCCAGATGACGGGCAAACCCATTATAGTCTTTCTGGAAGTCATCGTGGTGAACTGAGTCAAAAGTCTTGAAGTACATATAGCAATTTCACTTTCAGGAATTTATCATTAAAAAATAGTCAAAGATCCACTTGTATACCTAATCCTGAATTGCACCCCACATCTTTAAAAAAAAAAAGTCAAGAACATGAACAAAAGTAAGAATGTTTTCCACAACTTTTTGTATTATAGGCCAAAAAAAAAAAAAAAGAAAAAGAAATGCAAATGTCCAATGATAGTGTAGTGGTTGCTTAAATAAGCTATGACTCAGTCATGTGATGCCTCATATGAAACCGGTAACTTCATTTTGGAAAAGTACTTAATGGCCTGGGAAAAGTCCACTACTCCGCATCCCAAAGGGACAAAAGCAGGCTATGAAACAATAAGTACAACTGTGATCTAATTTTGTTAAATACACTTATACTAGTTCAGTAAATAAAAGATAGGAAGAATATAAACTAAATCTTGGAGTTTAATAATGGATGATGAATTATAGGGGACTTTCTGCTTTATGGTCTTTGTACTGTCAAATTTTATACGTGTTCTGTTTTTACATCAAAATTAAGATTTAAAAAGTATTTATGATGCAAAAATTTTCACAAATTTGGACCTGTATTTTCCTTAAATACTTCAAAATTGGCAAGATTTTACAAAGTCAATTTTTATTACATTGTTTAGTATCTTCGGAAGAAAAAGAAATATCTTCAAAATGTATACAAGCCTTCTGAAGTCTAGTATTACAAATTTCAATCCAAAAGGTCAACATTTTAGCATAACCTGATTATTGAAATGCTTAACTAAAGTCAGAGATAAACACACCTGAAAACAGTCACTGAATCTGAGAGGGAACCAACAGCAACATCAGGGTAGGAATTTCGATCAAGGTCCATATTTCCCGCAATCGAATATCCAAAGTAAGGTGATGTGCCCTCGAGAACCTGAAATACATAGGGCATCAGAATGGACACCGGGCCACCAAAAAAAGCTTCTTAGCTGTGCTTTGAAAAAGACAAACAAGTTTCTCTTGAACTGAGTTCAAGAGTTCACTTGTAAATAAATTATATTAAATTATAAGTCGGTTATTAAGTACACATATGTAATAATTCATACATTTTATTTCATAAAAGTCATCTGATTTACACAGTATCTCAAAAGAGAGTCAATTTAATGTGTTTGTTTATTAAGTCAATCAGTTATTTCAAACCAAACTTTCCCTACAAAGGTCTTATTTTTCTCAAAAGAAATTTTAAGTTTTTGGTGTCTAAATTCTCCATGTAATTACTATTGTCTATTTTGTTTGCCCAGTTTCATCCCTACTCATGCTGCTAAAAGAAGTATCTCACATTTCCACCTCAATATGTTGTCAGAATAGAACAACATTCTTTTACTTTAGATTACTTTAATTCCTGTCTAAGAAATTTTACAATGAAAACAATCAGGTCATTGCATTGTGTACTAACTTCTAGTAACACACCTTTTAAAAAACAAAATTCATACTATTGTAGACTTGTAAGTAAAATAGAATTAGTGTGAAAATTCACTTAAACCTAAATATTCTACTGTAAGGAAAAAAGCTGAGACTCTAGTTGTAGATATCAGTCACTTGGTTACCTGTGTTGGTTTAGTATTTATTCCATTTGCGGATCCATGATAGATAAAAACTTTTCCCATGTCATCATAGGGAGCGCCAACTGCAATATCTGTTGACATCATATTTTTTAAAATATTACATTTTAAAATAAGACAAACACAATGGATATTATTATTAAAACAACCAAATAAGCCACCCATAAATTATAACCATTGCACCATTTGTTATCTACCTGGGTATCCATCTTGATTAATATCTCCAATATTTTTGACTGCAATACCAAACATAGAATCTTTGGTTCCATTAAGACGAATTGGCTTGACATTATTCCATCTGCCTTGCTGGTTCATGTAGACATATACTGCACCTCCAACTTCTCCATCTCTATCAAAATACTGTGGGGCTCCAATAACTATATCTTGCCACCTAAAAACATAACGAGGAGGGAAAACCGTGAACCTTCAGCAAAAATACCAGCAAACTTACAGAGAATACCATCAGTCCAGGTACAAAGGACACAAAGAGATATAACAGAAAGAACCTCAAATATAGAATTTATGACTTAATTAAAATATATTTAAAAAATCAAGTTAGTCTTTAATAAACGCCCCCAAGAAAAAAGTTGAGGGTAAGCTCTCAAAGCCAGTTCCTCAACTTAGAACTGTAGTACAGCAGGACTCCCAGTAAAAACCCCACTGGTTCTACTCCACCCCACCTGACACCAACATTCATAGACTTATTTTTGACTTTGTCACTAATTCCTATTTTCAACAGGATATTCTTGATGTTCCAACAGCTCCTTAAGAAACCATAGAACTGAATCACATATGTGCCATTTCCAAGCTGATTTTTTTCAAATTTTAATTCTCATGGACCCATGATCCCAAGACTCGAATAAACATGTAATCCTATATACTGAGAAGGGTAATAAATGTCTTCTGCCATCATACAAATGATGAAGATGGAATGATAAAAATCTGGTAGCAAAAATACTCTGAATCAATGTACCTGAAGTGAAGGCTCTTCTCAAGACCTACAGAAGTCAGATAAAGAAGCAATGACTCACAGCATAAAATAAGCTGAGACATTCTTACCCATCTTTGTTGAGGTCCACCACAGCCACGTCATAGCCAAATGAAGAGGCCAGACCTTCCCCATCAAATATGTGCTCAGGAAGGAGATGTGCAGACTTCATATCTCTTTTTAGCAAAACCACAGCTCCACTGTGATTGGCTCTTGGAGCACCAGATACAAAAGTGATTTCATCTTTAGAAACAATACCTTTCCCTGAGTCCAAAGAAAAGCCTAGAAAAACAAAATATAGCTTCTCACATCAATCCTGTATATATTTCAAAAGGTCTATGACATTGGGAACTCCAACATTCCCTTTTCCTCCGGCTTCCTACCCCCTTTTTCCTCCTGACCATCCTGCCAGATATCACATTTATAACGTGAGTTACAGAGCTAAGAGATTTGACGTAAGGAAAAAGTACTGGGGATAATTCACTGCTTTCTATGGATATTAAGACTTAAAGGAAAGCATCTATGCTAGTTAGCATTTGCATACCTTGAATTGTGAAGTAGTCATATATCTTAAAAATCAATTTGCACCTTTTTTTTTTTTTTGAGTCAGGGTCTCACTCTGTTACCCAGGCTGGAGTGAAATGGCACAATCATGGCTCACTGCAGTCTCCAAGCTAATCCTCCCACCTCAGTCTCCAGAATAGCTGAGACTACAGGCAAGTGTCACCATACCCAGCTAATATTTTAATTTTTTTGTAGTGATGAGGTCTCACTATGTTGCCTAGGCTGGTCTAGAGCCCCCAGGCTCAAGCAGTCCTCTTACTTCTGCCTCCCACACTGCTGGGATTATAGGCATGAGCCGCTGTGCCCAGCTCACACTCTATTTTAATATTGGAACTGTGGTAAAAGATCAAGTTGGATACTAAATTATCTAGGAATAATTCAGTTATGTTACATTATATACACAGAGACACTGACTTGTAGCATAATTGAGTGCATGTTATAGGGTCCTGCTGTAATGTGATGACCAGTATTTTTACATCAATAACTTCTATATTAACCAATCTCCTTGGTAATCAGGCAAAAACAAATGCAAACACCATTAATATACCATAGATAGCATTTGATTATTTTGGACCAACTTAGTTCTCAGACATAAACATGCCAACGACACCATGACTGATGACATAGCATTTGAGAACCCAGTATAAACAATAGAGGTGAGGAAGTTGTCACTGATATCAGTTACATACTTGTTCAGAAAGGATAAAACAGAACACCCAATTGTAAGCATCAGACAGGATGTTAGATTACAAATACTGAGATCTGGTGAAAAGCAGATATAAATGCCCATATCAAAACCATTCAAAGTAGGCATATCTTTCTGCAGAACGGTGAGGCAGATGCAGAATAACATAAGCTCACCCTTTTCACTGGGTTTTATTTATGAAAAGCTCACCACTACCGTTGCAGTTCTCAAATTGTAAAGTGAGTTAAAAATACGATGAGCCGCAAATTTAGAATAGGGTGACATAATCGAATCCAGCTCTGAGAACCATCTGGCCGCAGAGCCTCAACCATGGCATGCTTTTCATGTGTGCTTCACTTGCAATGAAACAGAAAATAAAAAGATGTATGCTCTGTATGGATCAAAAAAATTTTTAAATGACCATGACCAAGACAATTTATTTGTCATCGCAGAGGTCACAAACCTAGGTAGCTATTCATCATCACATCAGGGGATGTGTCAGGCTGTTCCCTGGGAGGCCGGGTTTTATAAACAAACTGATCGGGATCTGTATAGGAAACGCTGGTCAAAAACAGCAGGCCTGTACACATGCACGGGATGGAAGAGATTGAAGAAAAAGTTATTATGCTTAGGAAGAGGCAGGATGGCCATGGACAAGATCGACGGGTGATGAGGCCACCACTGCAACCGGCAAGCTGCTCTCTTTGCCAGCTTCCAAAACCTCAGGCAGATTGTTTTATTCCCCAGACAAGAAATGACAGATTCACACACAGCACGAACAAGCAAAACATTAACAATATACACTTGATTTCTTTCTCAGACATACACTTTGGAGGAAATCCATTCTAAAAGTGACAAATGTGGTTTTTTTCCTTCTCTTTTAGTTTTATTTTAAAGATGTGGGGTACAATTCAGGGTTAGGTGTACAAGTGTTCATTATGCAGGCACCCTTGTTGATGAGGTGTGTTCCCCCTCCCCTGGCAGATTCCCACTTACTGTCAGTGACAAATGTATTCAATAAAAAAAAATTTTTTTAAACCTTCATATTTTCCTATGTTCTAATAGCAACTATGCTTATACAATCCATGGGCATCTATCTTAAAGACCAAAGTATTCGTTTCTTGGCTAGAGCAAGTAAAATTAAATATTTCTCATCATAAATAATCCCTAAGCCATGCACTTGAAGAGAGAGGTTGTTCGTTAAAATATGTTCAAATAAAATGTGGGCTTGTTGGTAATATTTATCTTGAAAATGATTTTTACCTTAAAAACCCTTGTTTAATACTTGAGACTGCAAGCCACTCTCCCCTGGGCTACCTTCCTGTCCTGGAGGGTCACCAGCATGCCATTCCCTTGCCTAGCTGCTTCCCACCCTCTGTGCTTTCATGAGAGTTGCTCTCCTTGGCTGCGGGATTAATAGTGTGAACTTCGGCCAGAAAATAAAGCTCTTTAAATCAGTTTTACTCACCAGTAAAAACAGGACAATAAAACTTATTTTATAAGTATGGTAGCTATGTAAGACACTAAGAATAGTAACCGACTCATAGCACACAGTAGGTACTTAAAGCAATAAGTATAATTTTTCTCTTTCTTCGATACCTTCATATCAAGTTTTTATTTTTAGAGGGATGGAGGAGTGTATGAAAAGTTTTTTAAAAAAAATTTACAGTATTGTTTGCACATATTTATACAATTAGAACAACTCCTTGGTGCATGTTTATTAGCACATTGTTTGAAATTATTCATATATCTATAACTGTTTTTTCCTTTTTTAACCTTCCATTTTTTATTAGTATTCTAGCATAGGATAGGCTAGCATAGCATTCTCATCGTTAAAAAATAGGTTACTATTTAGGTTTAGAAGATTTTTTACATTTTTTTCTAAGAAATGCACAGTAATTATTCTTTATGTCAACTCATACCAAGAATTAAAGCTTTTAAAAGGCTTTGTGTAATTACCATAATGCACATGAATAACTTAAGACACCCATTAGTAATGCAAACAAGCCTTAGGACTTGAGGAATTGGCACTTAGATACAGTCTGGGTGTCCTCAAAGCTGCTTTAACCGTCCTGCTCAGGCTCAGCTTGAAAGCCCCCATGCCACCTACCAGGGCCCTGTGACAATGGGGGTCCCAATCCCGGAGTAGGTCCAAACCTCAGAGAACAGCAATCGCAGAGGGTCCTGACCAAGAGTAACTTTATTAAATGTCGCTCTTAAGAGTATCTCTGGAAAGAGGCACTGAACACAGAGGGAAGGCAGCTCAGCTTACTGCGAACACCCGTGCACTTTTTCCATGGTTGTATGAACGGCCTGTTTCAGGTTACAGAGGCCGCCATTAGCTCAGGGACAGACTTCCAAGTGAGAGGGAAGATAGGCGATTTTAGGTGATAACAGGTTTCTTCCCCCTTGGAGGAAGCCCAGGTCAGAAGGGAAGAATCCCAGGCATTGGTTAGGTTACCTCCTCAGCAAGGCTTATCAAGTTACAGCAAATTAGTCACAGGCCCCTGGCTCCACCTGGCCTCTCCTCAGCCCAGACAGTCCAGGGGCTGTAGGCCCTGGGAGGGAGCATCATACAAGGTGTCTGAGAAGGTAGGCACCATCTGCACCCGCTCCTACCTAAGTAACTGTTAGCAGGAACAGGAACAAGACTTTCATCATGCTCAGTCTCTCCACCAACTTCATAAGGCCCATCTTCAAAGATGTTCATGTCAAAAAAAGTGTTATTCTTTTGCTCTACACGAACAATCCCTGAAGGAATGAAATGGCAAAGACAACAACAAAAAAAATGAAGATGACACAAAATAAAATAAATGGTTCATAATAAACATCCTCCATGTTATCACTGATTGCAGGAAGAAAAGTTTGGAGGAAAAAAAAGGCAGAAAGACAGAGATGACTTTGAGGATGTTAAATATGTTTGCATAAATTTTTATGTGAAAGAAATGTGTAAGAGTAATTTTTAAAATGTCCCATGCATTTTCTTGAACTATCTTTAAAATGCCATGAAACTAGATGGTAAATGGAATGTTTACTTAGTTAGGAAAATGTATAGAAAACAAATTTTTTAAATGACACAAACTTGATATGTTATGTGCTTTGTAATCCTAAATCAATTTGCCTTTTCTCTGTAGTATAAAAGTAAAACATACTAACCTATTCTTTAAATCATTTTAACTAAGATTTCATTTTTTAAAAATTCTTAAATTAATCATTTAAAAGATAAAATTTCATATAAGAAGCTCAAATCACTATATGACCCCCCCCCTTTTAAATGGCAATGTTTCAGGACAGAGTTTAGAAAGTAGGTAAGACATACATAATTGGTGGGCGTTTTTGTTGTTTAGTTCTATTATATATGGCATCTATTCTTGCTAAAATAAAACTCTTCTAAATTCAACATGTTATTTTAATTAGGTCAAAATAACCTAAGAAATACTCTTACATGAAAGATTCTGTTGGGGTGGGAGAGTGCGCAAAGGGAATTACCCTTGAAGGCAGCTATGGTTGACATACAGAGAAAGGTGCTCTCAAGAATTATTTCTAGCAGGAATTCAAACCTGGAAATTTTTGAATGGAAAGGAAAACATTTTCTTAAGTTTTTCATAATGAATGAAAATGTTATATGATTTATTTTAATACATTTCTCAAAAATGTCTTCTTTTTTGTGATTTTCTTCATCATGGATTAGAGTTAGGTTGTCTTTATGACACAGCAGTTTCCTACACCAGCTTAATTTCTTCAGCGAAGTTACAGAAACTGACTAGGTTTATTCAGTCAAACAATGTGGGTCATTTTCCTCCCAACTTCCCAATGTCTCCTTTTACCCACACAATAATTAAACTTTTCCTCAAGTTATCTAAAATTATTGTCTCAAAAATCCCCAATTTGCCTGTCATCTCCCCTTCTAACTTTCCTGCATTATAAGCAAAACATGGCCTTCAAAGATAATGTATAATGAGATAAATGTCCTATTAATACACTGCTATTTGTACACACAAACTGAAAACTCCTCAGTTTTCAGATTGCCCACTTAAAATGAAAACATCTAGCTTCATGAGAGAGGCAAATAGAAAACAGCAAAAACTACTGTTAATTATTATATTGCTGCAAAAAAGTTAACTACTTGTATTCATGTAAAGTACTGGGAGAGGGAACAAAATCAACACTCAAACATATATCCCACCATTTTCTTAAAAATCATATCATTTAGAGATTTTTAATAACCTACCCTCCTATTATAATATACAAATACCTTACAACACATTTTGTTTTAACTTAAAATGTACTAAATCATGCTGTCTATTACAGAAATGATGCAGACATTCTAATCTCTATTTCTATAAATACAAAGGTCATACCTTTCCAATTATAAGTGCCTGGGGCTCCAAATACAATGTAATGAAAGTCTTTAGTAAAAGTGGCTGCTACACCTTGCTGGCAAGAGCCAAATTTTTCATGACCTCTCAGTCGGCCATCACAAAAGCTCCAGTCTCCCCCATCCATGTCATCTTCAATCCTGAGATTTTGGCTCAGGACATAACACCTCCCAAAGATGTCTCGGGACTCCTGCTTCGTATTAACATGTTGCCTTTTTTCGTAACGATGAGCACACGTCTATAAACAGATGGAATAAAGTAGCCCACTCATGTCTATAAAATCTGTTTTTTAAAAATTACAAATTGATACAATTGTCAATAAAGAGGCTAATTCTCAATAGGGCGACTCAGCATGTCCCCATCCTGGGACTGTACCCCAAACCAGCAAATCTTCCTCAAAGTGGCATGAAAGAGACCGTTACCAAGCACAGAGAAACCAGAACTTCTGACTCGTTCTCACTCAAAGAATAAAGCTCTAGTCTAAATATTGAATGACAATCTATATCCACAGGCAATTTATTTGTAAATTTACCTGTCACATAAACAAAAGGAAACACCTTATTTTATGTGCTTAATTTAATTGACTTTTAGTGACTGTACATACCGTCACATCAATGTGAAAGTAAGTAATTATGTTCTAGAGGAGAGAAATCATGGACATTTTTCAAAAAGATCAAACAAAGACATTTTCCTTTTACCCATACTATTTCCTTGTAATCAGTCCTAACTTACACTTTGAGCTCTGGGATTATTTCCCTGAATATGCCTATTTTACAAAGGCAGAGAGAATTGTTCAGCTGAAAGCAATGAAATAATCTCTATAATTTCTCCAGGGTATTCAGGGCCACTCTCTATGTAACTCAGACTTAAAATACTTTATAATAGTCAAGTCAATTTCCCATAATGCATTTCTTAAATATGAAAATTCAATGTTCACTGAAATTTTCACTTTTCTCAAAATTCTTTATAAATTTTGTTGCATCGGGCCAGGTTCGGTGACTCAGCCTGCAATCCCAGCACTTTGGGAGGCCGAGGTGAGTGGATTGCCTGAGTCCGTGGGTTCGAGACCCGCCCAGACAACTTGACAAGACTTCGTCTCTACAGTAAATCAAAAATTAGCCAGGCATGGTAGCACGCGGCTGTAGTTCCAGCTACTTGGAAGGCTGAGGCGGAAGAATGGCTGGAGCCCAGTAAGTTGAGGCTGCGGTGGCCAGGAGTGTGCCACTGCACTCCAGTCTGGGTGACAGAGTGAGACTCCAACTCAAAAAAGAAAAAAATAATTTTGTTGCAGCAACCAGATTTTGAAAGAGACAAAAAAATCATCATATTCTATTATGAAAGTCATTTTCAAGGCCATCTAGCATAATCTACCTAACAAACTATCTCTTCTATTTGAAGAAGATCAGAATAAATAATGAGAGTTTAAAATTATTCTGTATTACTTTCTAAGACTACTCCCATATTTTAAAAAATATCTATAAAGCCACAAAGTTCCTAGGACACAAACTGCTCAGTTCTATTTTTGTTGTTGTTATTTATTTTTTTGAGCCAGGGTCTCATTCTGTCGCCCAGGCTGGAGTGCAGCGGCATGATCATGGCTCACTGCAGCCTTGACCTCCTGGGCTTAGGCGATCCTCCACCTCCACCTCAACCTCCAGAGTAGCTGGGACTATAAGCGCATGCCACCACACTCAGCTAATTTAAAAAACTGTGTGTGTGTGTGTGTGTGTGTGTGTGTGTGTGTGTGTGTGTGTAGATGAGGTCTTAACGCATGCCACCACACTCAGCTAATTTAAAAAACTTTGTGTGTGTGTATGTGTGTGTGTGTGTGTGTGTAGATGAGGTCTTATAATGATCCTCCCACCTCAGCCTCCCAAAGTGCTGAGATTAGAGGCGTGAGTTACTGCGCCTGGTTGGATTTTTGTTTTAATACCATCTAAAGTTTTAGAGATATCCATTAAAGGTTTACTAATAAGTTACTTAAACTTAAAGCTCCAAAGAAAAGAGGTTGTATGACTGATTCAAAAAGTATATCAGTAAAAATAATGCTTTGATTTCTTCTTGATATCCATCCTTGCTTTAAAGCAGTAAGTTTTCAAGAATGCATACTCTCTGTACACAGGGACGGTCTGCTTTGTCCCTTGTTATAAGCCTGGTGCTGGCAGGTAACCAGCCCTCCAACATTGTTAATGAACACGTGTCTCTACACTTACCACAACTTTGCCTCCTGGACCTTGACTTTGTACGGTGACTCCCATCCACTGATCTTCCTTGCTTTCCGACATAGGGTCAGCTGTGGAAAGCAGCACAGTTAGCACTTCCGAATGATGGCACAGGCTAGGAGCCACAGAGGAACAAAAATACAAGTAACTGTTTCCAAATGGCCTTGACTCTGAGTCTAGCTACTTAGTAAACTCAGTTTCTCAATCCAGAAAATTATTTGCATCTCAAGGAAATGGAGCAGTGGTTTCTGGTAAGAATCTTTTATAATATTCTATACATAAAATACATAGCTCTATGTCATGGCCTCTTTTGTCCAACAATCTCTTCCGCCCTCTCCTAACACCCAGCACCCTGAATACAGAAAGGTACTTGAAAAGTATATGACTAAGGAGTAGCCCTCCAAAATATGTCCCTTAAAGTGACAGCATAAAATGCAGTTTCCAAATCCAATTAACAGAAAGTGAGCATTTTTCTATGTACTCCCAATTTTGTTACATGACAGCAGGAACTGTTCTTTTCTTTACTGGAGACGGAAGATAAGGTCTCAGATTTACTTAGGATCTCTCAGTTGACAAGATATCATTTATCAATACCAAAAAGGAGAGCTATTTTTAGGCAACAGAGAGAAAAACCACAAATACCACTATGTGTTCATTTTGGCATCAATTTAAACCCACTGTATGACCCTATATCTAATTTTTGCCTGCCTCAAGGAGGAGCAAGACAGGCATGATTTTCAATCTGAATCATTAAAAAATATGAAAACTAAACAACTTTAAGCAGACAGAAGGAAAAATGCCAATGTTGAACAAAAAGTGAATAGATTACCAACAGGTTTATTTCTTTTCTTTATAGGTCTATGCATTTTGTAAGTTTCCTACAATTAACATATATTATTTTCTAACCAGTAAAATATAACACATTTCTAAAAGATGAAGAAGCAAGAGATGAACATAAACCAGAATCTGCAAATCTACTTAGAGTAAGCATATCAAATGCGGTTCAGCTAGAACTTCTCAGTACACTAACTGCTCAACCTATAGGAAACCAGGTACACCGGATATTCACATGCCTATGTTATGGCATTTTCTACATACCCAGAGTCCTTACAAAATAAGTCTCTATCTGAGGGGAAATTGTACCCATGCTTTTTAGCACTCATTTCAGAGGGATCTGATGTTTAAAATAGTCTCTCTCCCAAATACTTTAACAGCACGTGAGAACTGCTGGCCACTGAGTATAAGATACGCACATTCAATTTTCTTCGCTGCCATAAATTCAGTTTTCAACAGCCTCCTGTAGAACCTCAATATATCACTAGGTGGCAACATCAATATACCATATTAGCTTAGAAACCAGGGTTAGGAGGAGCAGCAAAACGCTGCATCCCAGTATGACTCAGAAAGGCAATATTTTCAGGGCAAATAAAAAACAGTTAAGACTGATACAATTAAAGGGGGTCTTCTCTGCAAGAATAAAACCAATGCTTGTTTCCCCCTTCCTTCCTCATGGAAAGGGCAAGTGGGGTACAGACGAGCTGGCCAAGTGAACCTCAAGGGAGGACAGAGGAACGCACCGTCGTTATCAAATTCAATACGCGTGCATGGCCCCCGGGAGGTGATGTCGCAGCTATACAGGCCTCCTGTCCTGTTGGCCTTCTGCAGCGGAAGTGCTTCTGCCCGGGGAGCCCCCACGAGCAACCTGTTGATGAAAAAGAGAGAATTTGGAGATTTCAATGTAATATATATTTGACATTTAAATCGGTCAGAACCATGAGATGGTGAGATTATCCTTTGTCAAGAAGCCCACTAATTCTTCTTACTTCCTGGCTCTCCTGTCATGTCAGAAGAGTTAGGCTGTGAGGGAGAATGAAGGGTAGAGTCCCGTGGCTGAGCTTGTCCTATAGAGATAGTGAAACAAGGGAAAAGTATGTCTATCTCACATAGTATCAGCAATTCTCGCTGGGTGTGATCTGGTATTTAAAAGACACGTTTTGGGCCAGGCACAGAAGCTCACGCCTGTAATCCCAGAGTTTGGGGAGGCTAAGGTGGGAGAATCATTTGAGGCCAGGAATTTGAGACCATTCTGGGCAGCAAAGTAAAAACCACAGGTCTATAAAAAATAAAAAAAACTCGCCAGGTGTGTTAGTATGTGCCTGTAGTCCCGGCTACTTGGAAGAATCGCTTGAGCCCAGGAATTCAAGGCTGCAGTGAGCTGTGATTATGGCACTGCACTCCAGCCTGGGTGACAGAGTGAGACCCTGTCTTAGAAAGAGAGAGGAAAGAGGGAAGGAGGGAAGAGAAGGAAGGGAGGGGAAGGAAGGAAAGAAGGGAGAGAGAGAGAGAAGAATAAAATACATACTTTCATAGAGTATGATCCCTAATCATATTCTAAACCAAGGCTATCATATGGAACTCAACAGAAAAAACAAATTATACTTCAGACACTGGGAGGAAAGAATGGTCACACTAAACTTAATAAGTAATAATATGTCAATTTCTAAGTTTCCTTGTAAGTTTTCTACAATTAACATATATTATCTAACCAGTAAAAAATAACAAATGCTATTTCTAAAAGATGAAAAAGCAAGAGATGAACATAAACAAGAATTTGCAAATCTACTCAGACCAAGTATTATCAAACGAGGTTCTGCTGGAACTTGTCAGGTACCCTGGATGTTTACATGCTTATGTTATGGCATCTTCTAGCTTCCAAAAACAACACAAGGTAGTTTTCAAGGTAATTTTGACTATATCCTAGATCTTCAATTTATACACTGATTTAGAACCTAACATTTGCCTAAGATACAACTCAACTGAATTACTACTCTCTTGTAGTCTTGGCCTCTTTCCAGTTCTTTCCCCCACTCCCCCAGCTTTATATGGTATAATTGACAAATAGAAAGTATATATATTTAAGGCACACAACTTGATGTTTGTCTTTCCAGGTTGCTTCTTACTTCCTGGCACTCTTGTCATGTCAGAAGATCTCAACCAATCTCATCTAATCAATCTCCACAAAGGATTCAGGGTGATCAGTGCAGCTCTACTTATAAATCAGGCGCTCTAATAGTCCTTCTTCCTTCCCTCCCCAGTGTTCTTATTATCTCCTATAAGGGGGGGCTCCAATTAAAACCCATAATCTTTACACCTTCAGTATCTCACAGCCAGACATGCTCTTTAGAGACCCACTATCTTGCTGCTGGGTTCCTTTGGCTAACACCCTTTAGTCGGCACAAGGTTTACAGTCTTTGGGGTCTGGCTGGCTAATGGAACAACTAGGAGGACGAGAAACAAAGAGAAAGGACACACATATGCCTGGACAGAGAAACCAAAAGCTGAAAGTTTTGGAAACAAGGCTGGAGCCAGGGAAAAGGGCCGGGAACACAAACCTGCACAAACAATAAAGCCCACAACAGAAGACAAACTACTCTCAGCCTTCGAGAAACCCACAAATCTCAGATGCAAAAGCAAAACAAACAAAAAAGAACACAATCCAAACAGTCTCTAGTACCTCCACCCCTGCTGGATCCCAATAAAGGACTCAATGTATTTTTTTAAACCAATACAATGCAGCAGGTGCAACAGGACGCAAAATGCTCTTAGAAAACAGGAAGGGGAGCCAGACTATGCCCAGGGAGGGGCAGCGCAAAGAGAATGAGGGGTGGCTCGTAACTTGTGGCCCTAGCGAGGTCCTTCCTCCCAGATTCCTAGACAGTCCGGGCAGCTTCTGCCTCCAAATTCGTTCTATATTTGAAGGCACGAGACAGCACACACCAAGATACAGCACTGAAATGGATACTTAGAGAAACCGGGGCAGTGTCCCTGGAGAGCGCAGAGGTAAGGCCAGGGAACTCAGGGTCCACCCCATGGGTCCCCCCCACACTTATTCCAAGAATGCTGTCCCCAATCCCAGGAGCTCCAGCAAGTACTTGAGAGGTGAACCAGCCTAGACTGTGAAGTCAATGCGTTCAATGACCATACTTGGCGATGCCAGGATGGGGCCGTGTGCTGGATACTGAGGGGGATGAACAGGGTGCAGAATCACAGGACTTGAGCAGAGGAGCCCCTGACAGAGCATCCAGCCCTCCAACTTTACAGGTGAGGAAACAGAGGCCCCGAGGGAGCTTAATCACTCTGTTCCCAAGATCTCGCTGCTGGTTGGTAGCAAGGACAAAAATCCGGGCAATGTTGTCTCCATTCCTTTAAAAGTCTTCTTAGGAAACAAAATCCAGGATTTTAAGGAGTTTATAACCTTAGTTGAAAAGGCAAAACACACAAATGAAACATTGAAACAAAAACTGTTCTGGATGCTGACAGGTTTAAGACTAGATACAGACAAGTTGTGGAAAGGAAGAATCCAAGTAATTGCAGTTGGGTGAGGGGAGGGAGGGGAAGAGATTTCCTGTAAAGGTAACAACCTGCAAAGAGAAGGCCACAAAAAGCAGGAGTCCTGATGCTGTCTTCTCTAACCGTTTCCTCTTCTCACCCACACTCAAGGAGGCTCCTAAGCTACCTTAGGCAAGCATGGGGCTTGTTATCTCCTGTCTATCCCACTCCCTCATTCTTTCACTTATTCATTCAACAAGCATTCATCAAGAGGCTCTTAGGATAAATAAGGGAATTGCCCTCACCCCTCAAACTCTGGTGTGGGGGGACCTGATTCATAAGCAGGTCATTCAACCAAAGGGAGGTAGAGGCGAGAGGATCAGACAGTGCTGTGAATGCCAACACCTGCTGGGGAAGGATGGGCGTCACCAAGAGATGATAGCAGGGCTGGAGGTGGCCATGTGAAAGGCACAGCATGGGCAAAGCCCACAAGGAAGAAGTCAGAGGAAACTGAGGATCAGCAGCCAGGTCGGCAGAGCCCTGTACTTGGGGGATGAAAGGTCTAAGAGACTCACATCCACAGAGCCCCAGGCCTCCAACACCTATCATGTCCTGCAGGATATACCTGCTTTCCAGGGGCCTGTGGTTAGAAAGCAGTGGGCCTGCACAGTGGCTCATACCCGTAATTCCAACACATGAAGATTGCTTGAGCTCAGGAGTTTGAGATCAACCTGGGTGACAAAGTGAGACCTCATCTCTACAAAGAAGTAAAAAAAACAAAACAAAACGCAAAATAGCTGGGCATAGTAGCGCACGCCTGTAATTCCAGCTACTTGGGAGGCTGAGGCAGAAAGATAGCCTGAGGTCTCCAGAAGGTTAAGGCTGCACTGAAATACATACGTACAGAATAAAGATATAAGAAATAAGTAAATGGAGAGTCCTTCAGAGCAGGGCTGCTTCCTCCAGCCCCTTTTCTCCTTGGTGCCTCTATCCTCTCTACTTGTTCACTTTGCCTGGGTAGCTAATATGTGGGGACTAAGAGCAGGCACTGAGCTCAAATTTGTTGGCTGGTTATAGAGGCTCTGGCGACCAAGTTTCCCATGTACCCGCGCCAAGCTCTTGTGGAAGAGGGCCTCCCGTTTTACATGCAGCAGCTACTGGAAATGAAAGCAGACCACATGGAAGGATGGAAGCAGCAGGGGGGTTTGGGGGAAAAGGACAACAAATTTGTAAAGAGACTTCCACAAAGAAGAGAAAGGCACCTATGGTGAGTAATGTTAGCTGTCACACTGCCTCTGGGTGGACTCTGCCTGCAAGCAGTTCCAGCACTGTCCTTCCTCCACCACAGATCTGTCCCTTTGGGATGGAGGAGGCAGGGGTGCCCCGGGGCCCTTACTAAATCCCGTGGGTGGCTGCAGGAGGAAGAGCACACAAGGAGCAGCAGAGGGCGCCCCTGTTCCAGCTGCACCCAGTTCTCTGGGACCCACAGGGCTAAGTCGGTGGAATTGGTCACAAAGCGCAATAACCTCAACCACACTCAACAATTGGCAGGTGCCTCTATCCTCAAGGTAAAGCTGCCCTCTCTGATTCAGGAAATAAGCAAAAGTGCTTAATTCTGCTTAGAACCAGCCTTGGCAGGAGGTCACAGTCCATCAGCTGAGGCTATATCTGACAGAAACAAACAAATGAAATAGAGTTGTGTCCACACAATGACACTAAGAGCAACCCATCTACTTCCTAATCTACGTCATTTAGGACCTGGGTGCTAGTCTAAGGTGTTCAGGACATGGCGGCTCCTGAGCTAGCAGAGTGGGTGCAGGCCTACGAGTGACAGTCTACACCTAAGGAGACCCCTCAGCCCATGCCAAAACCCGATTTCTGTTCAAATCCCAGCTTTCTCTCTCCCTTTTCCCTCCAATGCCCTTTGATGCCAAGAGCTGGACCCCAGGCTGCCTAGACAGTGTGAGAAGCAGATACTCTCAGCACCACAGCAACTCCAAGGACAAGGGCAACAGTGGTGCTCATTACTGATTATCCCAGCCTGTGTGGAAGAAGTCAGAGTTACAGTAATAACTCTGTGTTCAGAGTGACAGGGACCAAGGGATGTGAGTTAAGGCTCTGTAGGGAAGTGGTGGAAATTAACAGAGAAGGTCCTGTGAAGTCTATTCCCATATCAGGTCAAAAGAAGAAAAACTATACAATCTGGGTTTGAACTGAGATTGTTTAGATACCAAAAGGAACACAAAAAAATTACTTTCCAAATTGCCTTCCACAGAGCCAGTGGACAATCACCTCCACTGAGTTTTAAGGCTGCACTGAAATAAAAAACGCCTGGAGGATTCCAGAAACCCACATTTAAAAGACAAGACAAAA